TCTAAAATCCTAGTATCAATGGCTTTAACTCCTTCATCAATGGTGAAACTCTTAAAGAATACCTTATAGGTGGTAAAAGATACACCAAGATGAACGAGGATAGGATCAAACTAAGCAAGACAAATTGAACCAATTGATAAACCTTTTTCCTAATGTTTCTCTACATGCTCTACCCCATGAATATTTCGATCACTTCCATCTACGCCTATCCAGTGTTGTAGAACTAGCTATTCGATACTCATTTGGTCGACTGGAGAGTAGCAAGTACTCAGCCTAGACGGATAGTACTTGAATATGGTATTTTATAAATACTTAAATTTTAGGGAAATTATATATATATGAAAAATCATAAGGTTATTAAAATTCATAACAAAGTATGTGAAATATCAAAATATATATATATATATATATATATATATATATATATATATATATATATTTGAATGTTAAACTAGTTCAAAAATGTAAACAATTTAATAATGAAAATCTTGAATTTCAGAATTAGAGAGATGAAAACATATACAATACATTTATGTGGTACCTTACTTTAGTTTTAGGATTAGTATGTTGATATAGTATATAACACACACACACACACACACACACATATATATATATATATATATATATATATATATATATATATATATATATCTTTTTTTTTTTTTCACTTTTTAAGTCAGTTTTGACCATTTGACCGAGTTTGCCTGAGTTGGACCAATTGTGACCGAAGTTGACCGATTTCCGAGCTATTTGGACGGTTGTCTTAACTCGCCTCAATAAGACGCCGAGTCTGTGTACTCGGCCGAGTACTTGCCTAAGCTGACCGAGTTTTATAACACTGCTCCTATCCACCATATTGATTAACTTTGGCACTCCATCGTTCAAATTCTACCACAACCGATTATCAAAAGGGAGTAATAAGATGGTTTTTTAAGGGTGGCATAGATGTGTCCATTTCCATCTTGACGGATAAGTTATGTGTTGGTCATTTGAAAGCAATAAAAAAGGCTAGAAGAACCGCGATGAAAGTATAAAAAGAGAATAATATAAAGAAAAACTAGTATGAAAAATGCTATAAATCATCTTGAAATTGGAGCGAAGTGCATATGTCCGCATGTAAGAAAAATCAATAATCAAAGTGCTTGGAAATAAAAACTTCTTGAATTTAAAACCCTACAACTTTAGACTTGTAGCAAACAAAAACAAAAACAAAATCATAAATAGAATAAACAATATCTTGATAAATGATATTTGGGCAATAGATCTCTGCTTAACCAAAGAAGAAGTGTGAAAAATTTTTAGTGAAAAATTCTCGGAATACTTTTTCGTTAGACCAAAACTATCCAAAAATCTTTTCAAAATTCTCTCACAAGAGGAATGCCAATTGCCAATCATTTCATTCACTAGCACTAAAATCAAGTCGTCGCTTGGGATTATGGTAGTGACTGTGCTCGCGGATCCTCCCAGATCGGACGACATTACATTCAAAAATCTGTAACGATAATGGAACATCATTAAGGGAGACCCATCAACAATCACTTTCATGGTTCAAAATCTTTATTGGAAAGCTAAATGCTCTCTTTCGGTGGTAGGCTCATTCTTGAGAAATTTGTGCTCACAGCAGTGTACCTTTATATTATTTTTCATTGTTCAAAGCGCATTTGAAAGTAATTGATTCACTAGAAAGCATCAATATATAATTGCTTTTAGTGGAAATAATAATCCTTCAAATACCAACTGGGTCACATAGAGTAAGATTATGGCTCTGAAATACAGGGACGGTGTCAGAGTGGGGAGTTTAATGGTGACTAATCTTTCTCTCAACTAAATTCTCAAAAATCAATCATACAATCATTGGTCACAATTGATAAATGTCATTCATTGGTCGAGAAGACGCTATAAATGCATTCCTTTAAAAAAAGGATATATCGGGAACTTGGAATAATATGGCTAACATCTCTTTGAATTTTCTGCCATTAATATTGATATTGTATGTCTTCTAAAAATCAAAGTATGGAAATGAAAAGAGGCTATTTTTGGCATGATAATTGGGCTGGTATTGACCCACTGGGCTCTTGGTTCCCAGTTCTATACAAACTAGAATCTTGCAACATTCTACAACAAAAGATCAACCATATGTGATACATTTTGATGAAAATGGTCATATAAGTGACATATTAGAAATGGTATGGATTCAGATCAATTGAGGCATTTGCTAGGAGTAGTAAATCAGGTATGCTATAACGATTAACTAGATAATTGGTTTTGCTAAGAAAATGCTTTTAGAGTCTTCAGAGTAAAATCATTGCGAAGGTCAATTGAAAACGAATGCTTCTAGTTAGTGGAGGAAAAAGACTTATGTTGGGAACTTAGGATAACTCGGCTATAGTTAAAGCGTTTTTTGCTTGGCCAGCTTCATTAGACAAGATTCCGACTATACAAGGTCACCAACATACGAGAGTCAATGCCAACCAAAATATATGCTATTTATATGCATCCTCGAAGAAGTGTATTGACCATCTTCTCATTTCTTGCCTATTTTCAAGGTCTCTATAGGATCTAATCGAGATCTAGTGCAGTTTAGTTGATGATCTCAAGTTTATATCAGTCAAAGATCCCCTAAAACTACCCCATACTTGATTAAAAAAACTCATCATATGATAAGAAACTTATATCCACAATTCTGATCATTGCTTGCTGGCTTATTTAGAGAGCTCGAAACTTAAAATCTTTTGAAGGAAGAACAACCCACCTATAAGTAGTTAATTATAACTACTTGGAGAAAGCAAGGTGTTGCTGTTACATGCATAAATTTCACCTTTTCACATGTTTATATCATGTTTATTTATAGCATTGCATTGCATTTTAGTGTAATTTTACATTTATTTTGCGTTTTCGGACATTATTGAGGATCTATCTACTTTTTAGAATTTTTGTGGATGTTTCAGGGTGATTCGAAGATTTGAGCATGCTTAGGATGTTCAAGGGAAGCTGTCGGTGAAGTTTTAAGATCTTCGGAGCCAGATTGAAGAAATTGGAAAATTGGAAAAAACACATTTTTCAGGAGATTACGCGTGCCATGTAACTTATGCCTTTGCATTACACAAGCCGTGTTTTGGAGATTTATTAGGCCATTTCATCATTACATGGTCTTGTAATGTTACCCTTTGCATTACGTGGGTCGTGTATTGCAGTCTGACAGTTTTTCATGTTTGTAACTTCTGATTTATCTTGTCTTTTTGGCACATTTTGGAACTACTTCGATCATAGACTTCAAGAGGGCAATTTTAGGAGAATTTTTCATCACTTAGCACTTTGGAAACACTTTGATTTTGATTTTGTAAGCTTGTTTGAAGATCAGAACTTGTTGAATTTGTGTTCTAAGTTAGTCATGTGTGTCTAACTTTTCTTAAAATTTCCGGTTCTAGATTCCTATGTATTTATTGTTAAGATTGTGATGTGAACTTGATTTCATGTTTATTATCTACTAATATTTGATTTGGTCTTCATTATGTACTTGATTTGTATTCTTTTCACTTGATCAATGAAACTAGGGTTCATATCATGGTTGTTAGTCAAATTATGAAATTCGTATATATTTTATGATTTGTAATTGGTAACAAACACTTAATTGGTTTCACTGGAATCAAAATTAGTGTAATCAAAGATTAGTGATCTAATCTAAGAGCTTGTATGGATTTTATCAACTAAATGAAATTTTACTTAAAGATCATGTTTTGAGTAAAATACTTTTGTCAATTTGGAGATATTAGAGTTTATTAATATCATAATTACCAAATTAGATTGAACATAAATTAAAGTCACATTACATCTTACAACATAGTACTTGAATAGGATTAGGAATCACAAATATATTTTAAATTTTTTAATTTTAATCCATAATTTGCTTATTTATGAAGTTTAATTTGATGTCAATAAAATCTCCCTACTTTACCAATTGGTTGTATATTGTGTAAATACATGATCAAACATTAAGTCTCGTATCTTTGTGGACCAACTATGTTTGCTCTATATTATCTCATAGTATACAGTCACTACTAGAAAACTGGGCAATTTCCGACGGCCATATCCGTCGGAAATATGTCGCTAAACACGATTTTCGACGGAATTCGGTATGTCGTAAAAAGCCCCGTGGGTAATTATTTGTGATGGAATACCGACGGATTTCCGACGGACAGCGACGGACATTTGTTGGACCTCTTTGACCAAATTAACGACGCAATCCGACGGACCCATGGGTAATTACTAGTAATAGTGATTTGTATTTAATTGTTATTATTATATTTCTTTATTTGTTGGTTTGACACCCAAACAGTTGTCTCATGTTTGGATTAAACATATGGCATGGAAGGACTTCATTAATTAGAATCTTTGGTGTATTTTTCCTTTTCATGCGCATACAAGTAATTTAATTTTGTGCATCCTGGTAGCATTTATATAATTTAACCTACTCCGATGGAATAAAAAAATAAGTTAGCAATATTTTTAATATTTATATGATTTCAGTGACTTCTCATAACCAACAAAAATGGTTTTACGAAAACATTTGGTTTGACTCATGTATCCCGATCTCATTAAATTCTCAAGCATGTTATCTTGTTAGCTATTTCTGATGTTAAATTAGAATTTCACATATTTATTCGTTTTGAAATATCGTGATTTTTGATAGTATTAATCAAAATATTCATAAGGGTGTGTTCAATGAGAGATTTGAATGAATTAATAATCCTAGTTGTCATTTAAATAATGAAACTTTATCATTCGAGATGTAATCTTTTTATTAATTGGAGTGTATGAAGACAAAAATAAATAAATAAATAAATAAAAGTTGATAAACGAAATGTGGATGCTATTTATAGTAGTAAGTTAAATCACTTACCAAGAAAATTATTCATATTGATGCCTATTAGTTTAACTTACAAATCTATAGCATCCAATTCAAAACATATCTTAAACAGCCATGAAAAAATGTGTACCTGTAGTAGGAAGAAGGATACATTCTTAGAATTCCATATTAGCACCGCCATCTCTTTACTTCTTCGTTCCTAAATTGACAAAAAGATTAATTCAAGAACAAAGAATAGCAACAAGAACTAATTATAATTCCACTTCAATTTATTTCTATAAAATACTTGCAACAGAAATTAATGTGAATCTTGATGTTGAACGCTACAAAAATTTCCACAATTTCATTAATGGAATTTCCGATCTATTGTTCCAAATATTTTACACACAACTAAACCCTAAGGAAGATCTCAAACAATGGTTCACAATTCTGTTTTGATCACAACTCGTTTATGTTATAAAATAAATTGAATTGGAATTATGAACAAAACTAATTAGAACTCGATCTATCTATATAACCAGATATATGAAGACATGTCAAAAAGACAAAAAGTTTGAACAGATTAAGTATATTCTAATTTGTATAGGTCTAACAACTTAAAGACATGACCATCGCGATCGCACAAACATACATAAACAACAATTATATATGCAAATCGAATGATGTAAGTACATGTATATGCATACGTACCTTGTTTAGAAGAGCAAGGGCTTCTTCTCTCCTCGAAGGCTGGTGAAGCAAGTCTATGCACTGCTCTATCCTGGTATGCTCGACAACTGCAGATTCTACTCCGGCGGAGGAAGAAGATCCACCAGTGGTTGGATCGACATATAGCGTTTCCGGCAAGTTCTCCATTTTCCTTATGTGTGTTGGATCGCGCAGATACTCTCTCTCTCTCTAAAATTGAATACTTTCTCTCTCTAGATTATGTGTTTTTGGCATGAGGAGAAAGGATGTCGAGTGAGGATGTGGGCGACTACTTATAAACTGATGGGTGAGAGTCAAGCTGCTAAAGTGACAGATTATCAGACTAAAAGATTTGTCCATACCTGCCACGTGTTAGTCATGCAGGTATAGTTATGTAGTAAATCTTATTCACTAAATCTATATTAGTTCTTGAAAGTAGTATATTATAGGGGTTAAATAAAACAATGAAAAGTTATACTCCTAAGGACTAGACATTAACCATTTTTATAATAAAATATTAAAATAAATAAAACTGAAATAAGTAATAATTAAAACATCAACCAAACATGTATATCAAAACAATCAAGAAATCGTAGTGTATCCATAATCATCCGCAACTACATTAGAGTCAAATAAGTGTAAAATCATGGTAAGTGTGTTGCGATCATCCCAAGCTCTTCCAATTCGATCCGGAAGTACGTGAAACATGCCACACCCCCGGCCGAGGCGGCGGAATACGTCGGGCTGTGCGACTTAGTTCATGGATCACAAACAAATTAAATATACATCACAAGTTACAACAATAACAACATAGCGGTTACATTACACTTTAAGGATTGAATACAAAGTTCATAATAATAATAAATTCATAAATTTGTCATAACAGATAGGCCGATATAACAAAAGCTAGATAAAACTAGGTCATCTGAAATCCATGACTAATCTTCTGACGGAAATATTATTTGGTGATATCCTGAGAATACATGTAGTTTTGAGGGTCAACACAAGGTTGGTGAGAGTTTACAGGTTTTCTGCTTACCGCAGTAATGATACTCTTTTTTTTATTAAAGTTCGAAAGTATCTCTTTTGTAGTTAAAACCATGGTTGATAAAGAGTTAAATCAAAAGTAAATCCATACTTGAAATGTTTGTTAAAGAGATAAACCATAAGTAAATCCATACTTAAAATGTTTGATAAAGAGATAAACCATAAGTAAATTCATACTTAAAATGTTTGATAAAGATATAAATCATAAGTAAATCCATACTTAAAATGCTTGATCAAGAGATAAACCATAAGTAAATTCATAATTTAAATGTTTGATAATAGAGAAATCATGGGTAAATCCATATTTGGTAATCAAAGAAGCATGAGTAAATCCATACTTAAAACGTTTGGTAATCAAAGAACCGTGTGTAAATACATACTCAAAATGTTTGGTAATCAGAGAACCGTGAGTAAATCCATACTTAAAATGTTTGGTAATCTGAGAAACCGGATCCGTGGTTTCTACATTATGAGATCTAGTAAATGCTTATAGTGATTCCTATAACCGAACTATGTGACTATACTACCCCCTACAACGCTTCATTGGACGTCGTATAAATGAATAAGATATTTATAACCCGCTGCGATTGATCGGTCAAGAATGTAGCTAGCAACCATAGGTGGGGGTGTCAACTCGTATAGATCTATACATACGTATCTCAGCTCCGAATATTAACGGTTATAGTGGCATGGGTCTTCTAAGTATTTTTGCACTTAGGGTAATGAATAATCTCTCACTCATAAGGCCCTTAACTAGAGTTTGTCATGAAAAGCCGAGTATGCCCAATAAGAAAATCCATAAAAGTGTATAATATGCATTCAAATAAGTGGTAAATCCCATGGTAGTGTACACAAGTACATAAGTGATTTCAAGATAAGAGTTTGATAACTCGTATCTGTATGAATGAAAGACGTGAACTTGAAATACTACAAAAATGGTAACTTTTATAACATATGTTTTGTAATATATGTTGTCAAAAATCATAATATCTTTGTAGTAGAATAATACGTTGTCTTGACTAGTTGCATTATTAAAAAAAACAACTATAACATATATACATAGAACATATTTATCAATAGTTTATCTGTAAATGAAATATTATTTAACAAAATAATATGTATAAACTAGTTTTAGAATCGGTAACTGTTTGTTACGAATGATAAATATATATAGCACATGTATTCTCCCCCAAAGCGTAAAAATATTAAAAAGGGGGCCATAGAAACTCACCCTTGAAGCGTGAACGAGTCTCGAGGGTGAAACTTGTCGTGAAATTTGTTTCGTGACGTTTCGTGCCCTTAAAACGAATCACCGGGTCTATTTATATTACCTAATAAACCAAAAGGGTAGTTTTGATATTAATTATTAATTATAGGGTGGTCTTTATTAAAATAAATAAAGTCTAGGGGTTGATTTTGCCAAAATAAAATTCCATGGACTGATCTTGCAAACAGTTCTTAAACCAAGGGTCCAATATGCACATTTTAACCTAATTTAAGCTTCCAGGACTTGGTTTGCTGGGTTTTTCGGGTGGAGGGGCCATTCTTGGACATTTTAATGCAAGTTTGACTTAGACGAGAACTATTTCTAATAGAGGTTCCAAATACGTACATGTCAGAAATTAGGGGGTTTTATTTTAATTAAATTGAATAAATGTTTGCATAGTCGCTCTTCATTTACGTATCACGACTAGCAGGTTTTTCTTGAGGCGGTCGAATCCGAAAATTTATTTTCCTTGACTGGATTTGATCTTGACACATGTATGACGAAAATGGGAGTGATGGTGGCTTACCGACGGTAGTAGAGGTGCCGCCTGGTCGCGGTTTCACGGTGGCAGCAACATCAATTCGCAGCGGCAATGGATGTTGGTGATTTTAGTGTCACCATGTCATTTTAAGTAACTGGAACTGACATGTGAGCTAATGGGCTTCATAATTTGTACGCTAATATATGTACGAGGTTGTGCGGAGTGCACGCATATATGTACTGGGTTCGGGGTTTCCAAAGGGGCAACGCCCCTTTGGCGGGGTCTAGGGGCAGCGCCCCTAGTAGGGTCCAAGGGGCAAAGCCCCTGGCTAGGGTCCCTAAATCCTCATTAAATCCGGATTATCCTGACTTGCTTCCAAAGCAACGAATGACGGCCCAACCCTAATAAAACCCTAATCTCGTTTAACATATAAACGGCTCTTCTTTCTCAGAAGAGAGTTACGATCATTAACTCTCGTTTTCATCAAACTCTCACAGAATCTCTCTAGGAAATTGGCTTACGATTTCTGTGCCTAGAATCGTAAGTGTCCACTTGGATTATCCTAGGCTGAATTTCTTGCAACTCAGGCATAGGGTAGAAATATCAGTTCGGAAAGTGTTCTCACGATCAAAGTTGGTATCCAGATCTCCACCACAAACCCTATATTTCCTTACATTCGAACTGATATTTTCTGTTCCTGGAGATGGGTGACTCAATCCGCGAGATGACCACAAAGTTTGCTAAACTGGAAAAGTTTGAAGGCGTCGACTTCAGGCGTTAGAAGAAGAAGATGCACTTCATGTTGTCTACTCTGAAAGCAACATACGTGCTGACTACTCCAAGACCAGCGGAGCCGGAGGAAGGTGTTGTTGAGACGATTGAAGAGATAAGAAGGAGACAGAAGTGGGACAATGATGACTACATCTGCAAAGGTCACATTCTGAACGGTATGTCTGATGCTTTATTTGATATCCATAGTGAAGCCTTGTGTGTCAAGGAGGTGTGGGACACCCTTGAACTGAAATACATTACTGAGGACGCTTCTAGCAAGAAGTTTCTGGTCAGTGACTTTAATAATTATAAGATGGATGATTTAAGGTCTGTCACTGAACAATACAATGAACTCCTTGGCATACACGGTCAGTTTAAACTGCACCGTATGAATATGGATGAATCCATTGTTGTGTCAACCATCATTGAAAAAATGCCTCCATCTTGGAAAGACTTCAAACATAACTTGAAACATCAAAAGGAGGAACTATCCTTGGTTCAACTTGCTAGTCACATTCGTATTGAAGAATCTCTTCGTGCGAAGGAAAGTGACAAATCTGAAAAACCCAAGGGAAAAGTTGAATCTTGACAACCCTCGGTTCATATGGTTGAAAATAGACCAAGGAACCAGAACCACAAAGGACATGGCAAACACAAGCAGGAACATGTCCCAAGAAACTCCAACAAAAAGAGAAAGGATCTGGTGTGACAACCCGAAATTTTTAACGTGTGTAAACATTCAAATTTATCAGTGTTAGACTCATTTTGCTTCCAGTTATCACTGTTTTGGAACCTGTTTTGAGTATTCTAACTCTAATGCATCAAAGGGATTAGTATTTGGAAGTGTCAGTTTAAGTTCTAAACTACCTAGCAACCGTAAACCTCCTCAAAAAGGAGTTTACGGTCGAGACCTTGAGCTTACGGTCAGGGTGACCGTAAACCCGCTTACGGTCAGGGTGACCGTGAACCTGTTTACGGTCAGGTGGACCCCCCTTTAACCGAGAACTCTACCCTATATATAGGGTATCTAGCCTTCATTTCACATTTTAAACACTCCAAAGACGTTCCCTCTTTACTCTCTCACTACAATTTCGAGTTTGCTCAAGAAATCCTCAAGAACACAGTTGTGTTTTGGACCGAAAAGACCCTTCTTTGCCTCCAAATCGTAAGTACCATCCTCCTTTACATCTATCTAGTTGCAATCCTTCCTTTTTGGACTTAAGATCATCACTCTTTGCATGAACAAAAGAGTTTAAGGTCCTATGAATCTTCATAGACCGTAAACCCTTATAAAGGGTGTTCTTATAGTCTTTACCCTTCCTAAGGCTAAGCATGGTCCCTAGAATCCGATGCCTTTGATTGAAGCCCTTGAAAACCATCATTGATGAGTTTACGGTTGTATCTCCTTAGACCGTACACCCTTCAATGACCGTAAACCCATGGACCGTGAACCCATGGAACCGTAAACCCATGGACCGAGAACCCATGGAACCGTAAACCCATGAACCGTAAACCTTATGACCGTAAGGTCATTAGACCGTGAACTCCATGACCGTAAGGTCATTGGACCGTAAACACTAAGACCGTGAACACTTGGACCGT